TTGATCCACAAAGACTTAGTTGTTTCAGTACGAATTCACGGCAATGCATAAATCAGACTAGAACTAAACAGGTTTGGGTTTTGGTTTTGAGTTTTGGTTGTCACTAAATCTAAACTAAAAACCTAAACAAGTAAAAGCAATTGAAAACGAAAGCAAATGAAAGCAAGTAATAAGCGATTAACCAAAAGGGAATGGAAGCAAAGAACAAGCGAATAAATTGAAGGTTGTAAGCAATTAAAGACAAACGTTGGGCATCAAGGGGTTTCACAGGGATTCATGGTCTATGCTAAGTCGATTTTAAACAAGTGATAAAGGTAATCAACTACGTATGCTCTAGAACTCGAGGCACGGAAGTATGAATAGCCTACTTTCGCAGCACTAAACAACTATCTCTTGCAACCCTGATCAGTAGGTTTCCACTCTAATCCTAGAAGGGAGAAAATGCAATAGCAGAACAAGACTCATCAACATTCACAACTCAACAACAGGTAGGTTTCCACTCCTATAGAATAATTGTTTGTTTCACCCTAGTTCAAACAATCAATGAAAACTTTCGCAACATATCATATCAGATCGGCTTCTAAGTGGCCAGCAAAGAATCACGCAGTAAGATTAAAGGCAAACGAAGAAAATCTAGAAGATTATAAATCCTAAATATATCGATTCATAAGCAAAGACACACGAAATTCGCTTTGAAAAATCCCTTAAAACCCAACTGTGTAACTACTCAAACATATTGTAAACAATCATCACAGAGTATTGAAAGTTGCAGGAAATTAAAGAAAAGAAGGGAAGAAAAATGAAGAACACAGAATCAGATAGAGGCGCGATGACTTCCTCCAGCGGCGGCTCCTTCTTCAAAGGTGGCGGCCTCCCTAGGGTTTGTGAAACACCCAGGGGCAGAAGAAGGATAAAAAGCTCCCTGTGATCTATTACGCAAGCCGCACATTGGACTCTGCTCAAGAGAAGTACGCGACCACCGAGAAAGAGATGTTGGCCATTGTATTTGCGTTTGATAAATTTAAGAGCTATCTTGTGGGATCAAAGGTCATTGTCTATACAGATCACGCAGCCTTGAAATATCTCATGACCAAGAAAGACGCTAAGCCGAGGTTGCTCAGATGGGTTTTGTTGCTTCAAGAGTTTGATATGGAGGTGCTTGACAAAAAAGGTATTGAGAATGGAGCTGCCGACCATCTCTCAAGGTTTATAATCCAATCAAAAGTACCTCTAGATGATGCTTTGCCCGAGGAACATCTTATGTTAGTCAAGTCTTATCTAGAAGTGGAGGAGGCCAACACGATCAGGGAAAGAAGCCTCCCATGGTTTGCGGATCTTGTGAACTAATTGTCATGTGGTTTAGAGCCACCAGAGCTAGATTCCTACCAGATGAAAAATTTCTTTAGAGATGTGATGAGGTATCATTGGGATGAGCCGTATCTATATGTGCTTAACAAGGACCATCTCTATAGACGATGCTTAGCTGAGGAGGAGATTTACCTGGTGTTGCAAGAATGCCATGGTTCAGCATACGGTGGTCACTTAGTGGCTTTCACGACGGTGGCCAAAGTTCTACAGAGTGGTTTTTGGTGGCCGACTATGTTTAAAGACGCTCAGAGTGTTGTCTCAAGATGTGAGACTTGTCAAAGGCACGGTAACATATCCAAGAGGAATGAAATGCCTCATAACCCAATTCTTGAAGTCGAAGTCTTCGACTGTTGGGGCATTGATTTCATGGGTCCCTTTGTAAGCTCATACGTGAATAAGTATATACTTGTTGCTGTGGACTATGTGAGCAAGTGGGTAGAAGCGGTTGCATCTCCAACCAATGATTCCAAAGTTGTGGTCAAGCTCTTTAAGAGCACCATTTTCCCAAGATTTGGAGTCCCAAGGGTAGTTATCAGTGATGGAGGTAGCCATTTCATCAATAAGACTCCTGAGAGTCTTCTGAAAAAGCATGGAGTGAAGCACAAGGTAGCTAGCCCTTATCATTCTCAAACAAGCGGTCAGGTGGAGGTCTCAAACCGTCATATCAAAGCTATTTTAGAGAGGACCGTGAGCTCATCTAGGAAAGATTGGAGCAAGAAGCTCGATGATGCTTTGTGGGCTTTCAGAACCGCGTACAAAACCTGGCACCTCACCATTCAACTTGCTTTATGGGAAAAGCTGTCATTTACCGGTTGAGCTGGAATACAAAGCCTTGTGGGCAGTGAAGCTTTTGAACTTTCATATCAAGACGGCTCAGGATAAGAAGGTTCTACAGCTTCATGAACTTGAGGAGATCCGTTTAGGCGCTTTTGAAATCTCTAAGATCTACAAAGAAAGAACCAAAGCGCTTCATGACAAGAAGATACACAAGCGAGAGTTTAAAGAAGGGGACCAAGTGCTGTTGTTTAACTCGAGACTTAAGCTATTCCCTGGAAAGCTAAGGTATATGTGGTCTTGCCCGTTTAGAGTTCTTGAAGTAAGACCATATGGAGCAATTGTCTTAGAAGGAAAAGATGGGCAAGGCTTTGTTGTGAACAGACAGAGGGTAAAGCATTACTTGGTATCCGAAATAAGAGAGGGAGCTACCTCAGTTCCTCTTCTTAAACCCGAAACAGCCTGAAAAGGTAGGTAAAGTCAAACTCAGAGACGTTAAACAAAGTGCTCTTGGGAGACACCCCAAGCTTATCCTTGTATATTTCGTTTTGATCTTTCTTTTTCTTTTTATTTGAAACTTTTTGAAGGGTTTGTTAGGTGTTTCAGGTTTAGACAGCGTTCTGAGAATGAATCTTGAGAGAAAGAAGGCAAGAAAGCTTGTAAAGACAAGGCCTTGTGTTTTAGACATGAGTGTTTTATAGCCTCGGTATCGACCCTCGGCATAATCATGCCTTGGTCCCCATTTACCGAGTGAAAGCATGAGAACCTCGGCTAAACTCCTCATCTCATTAACACCGGGCCGTGTGGTGAAAGAGAGATTGTGAAATTACTAAGTGTGGGGGAAAAACCATAGTGTAAACACCTCGGTATAAATATACCGAGGGTCAATGTTCACAAGAAACGGTTAAAAACCTCGTTCTGAGGCCGCGACCTGTTTACACTGAGGCCGAGCCACCTAAACCCCCCCCCCCAAGAACAAGTGTTCTGTGTCAAAACAAGTGCCCTCGGCATGATACCCTCGTGGTGGAGCATACCGAGGTGCCTGGTAACGAGAACGAACAAGGACAAGAACACTTGGGACACTTAAGTCAAAGAAGAAGGTCTAAGCGGTCAATGGAAAAGACTTGAGGGCCACGAATTTATGTGTTAGCATGAGCTCGAAACACTCGGTCTGGTGCCCTCGGGGTGGAACATGTTGAGACCGCTCGTGTTAACACAAGAAAAATGAGTCCAGCCCGTACGGCCCTTGTCTTATCCATACCGCGGTCATTTGAAGACTTTGCGCGGAAATTTGAGTTTAAACGCTCTGTCAAGGCAATTTTAGGCGCGGTTAATGTTGGGGTCGGTTTTCACCCCAAGTAGATAAACCACCTCAGAATGGCTACGTATGGAAGAAAAATAAGTGGGAGAGCCGTGGTCGCCAATTGGGAGAGCCGTGGTTGCCAAGTGGGAGAGCCGTTCTCACCATGACAAGTGGAGAGCCGTTCTCACCAAGACAAATGGGAGAGCCGTGCAGATAGACCAGTAGGGAGAGCCGTGAAAGAAGACAGGTTGACCGAGCCGCATCAAAAGAAATGGGCCAAGCCCCACTTCAACACGTTTGGGCCGAGCCGTGTATCAGTGCGGTGGGCTAGATCATGTCCCCATGGCAAGTGGGCCGAGCCGTGAAGAAGGCTAGATGGGCCGAGCCGTAAAGAAGCTTGGACGGGCCGAACCAAAGCCTTGAAAGATGAAGCCCATGGAAAACCCTAGGCGAGATGCAAAGGCGGTCAGCCGCACGAGGCGATAAGGAAATATTCCGAAAAACTCGCCCGAGATTTTCGGCTAGGCGGTTTAGAAAGTTAGTATAAATATATGATGTATACAATTCATTCCGCAAACTTTGGCAACCCTAAGCAATAAGGACTAAACACTTTACAGCAATAAAAATCCTCTTTTGATCTTACTGTTCTTGCGATTACCCTAGAAGTTTCAGATCCCTTAATTTCTCTTCACAATTCTTGGTTGTGCGAGTTTTGGCTCACACAATTTGGCGCCGACTGTGGGGAATCGAAACTTTCTTACTCTAAATCGACGAGACTTTAAGATCCGAAGAACATGGCGAGCAACACCCCCGACGACAACAACAACAACAACACCGGTAACGGCGCGGAGAAGGACGCTCCGGCATCGGGCACGACGACGGCAACGATCGAAACCCAGGAGGAGATGCGAAACATGATGGTTGCGTTGATGAAGAAAATCGACAAACAGGATAAAAGAAACGAGGCGATTACAGAGAGGCTCGACGCGATGGCGGCTGAGCGACTGCACCCAACTTGGAGAGCCGGAATTCTCTACCCGATGGATGGAATCCGGAGACGCTTCGATTTCTCGACACCTGCAGAAGCCTCATGGAGCAGCGCGAGAAACCCCTCGGCTCCTCTAATGTCTCGTCTCATCGACAAACAGACCCTCGCGGCGACCCGAGTCAACATAACCGAGCCGCCCCCTCTCCGCCGAAACTCGAGGCGACGAGCCGGCGAAGAAGGAAACGATGCAATCGACGTAGACGCCCAGCAGAACGACGAAACCATGAATCCACAACAAACTGGCTCGGCTCGCCGAATTAGTCAAGAAGAACTCGCCTCGGCATTGAACGGCATCCGGACTGACGAAGTCTCCGATCCGACCCGCGGCGATAACCCAAACGAGGTGGAAGAAAATCTCCAATGGATCGAGCAGGCAGAACGCGAAGACGAGCCGAGGCGAGAGGAGCAGGAGCGACCCCCCCAATCAAAGGGAATGACTCACGCACAAACTCTCGAGCTCAAAGGCTGCGAGCCTCTATGGCTCGGACAGTGGTTGAAATACGCGCAATGAAATCTCAAGTGCACAACGCGACAAGTGCCGCGCCCGAAATCGACCGAATGCTTGAAGAAACTCAAAGAACCCCGTTCAATGCAAGAATCACGGAGGCCAGGATTCCCGAGCCGGGGAAGGTGAGAATCCCGTTCTACGAAGGAACAACCGACTCAAAAGCACACATCACCGCGTTTCGAATAGCGATGGGACGAGCCTTCACAAAGAACGCCGCTAAACTCACTGGACGCGAAGTAGATGCCGGATACTGCCTGCTCTTCGTGGAGCATCTCAAGGGAGCCGCGCTTGAATGGTTTTCGAGGCAGGAGCGCAATTCTATCGACAGTTTTCATCAGCTCTCCGCTTTGTTCCTTAAACAATACTTGATGTTTATGGACAGAGGAACATCTGATCCTGACCTGTGGACACTATCCCAAGGACCGAACGAGCCGCTTCGAGATTACATGGCAAGGTTCAAGGCAGTCGTATCCAAAATAGAAGGGATAAGCGACAAGGCTGCACTCGAGGCTCTGAAACGATCTTTGTGGTACAAGTCTGAGTTTCGACGGGAGATGGCTCTCAACACGCCGCATACAATCCAAGACGCTTTGCACCGATCATCAGACTTCGTCGTAAACGAGGAGGAAATGAAAAACTTGGACGAGCAGTACGATGCAACGTCCCGCGAAGCTCAATTTTGCTCAATTTTGCTGCGTCCCGCGAAGCTCAATTTTGCTCAACTTCGTCGTAAAATTGAGCGGCAATCCGAAGCTCAATTTTGCTGCGTCCCGCGAAGAAGGGCAACCCATCGAGCAACACAACAACGCAGAGCTCGGATGAACCTAGAAGCGGAGGCGCCCATAATTACCAGGTAGGCACCGGACGCGGAAGAGGAGAGCTGCGCAACAACACTTGGGTGAGAAAGTCTGCCAACTACGACGAGAAGGCTTTCTGCGAGTATCACCAGACCTACGGGCATTCAACGGCTCAATGCCGAACTTTAGGAGCAAAGCTCGCAGCAAAGATGGCAGCGGGAGAGCTCCAAAACGCGGTTAGCATCAAAGACCTCGTCCCTAACGAACAACAAGAGAGAGCCGAGCCGAGCGTCACGGCGGAACCCGTGAATCCTCCCCGACTAGGCGATAACCCCAAGCGTGACAGGAGAGGCGAACCTGAAGAGCGATCCGAGCCGAGGCAAAGGATCAATATAATCATGGGTGGATCCCAATACTACCAAGATACCGTATCCTCCATCAAAGCCTATCAGCGCCGAGCCGAAGCGAAGGAGAATTGGACAGAACCAACCGACATCCCAAACACAGTGATCTCCTTCGCTGAGGAGGAAACGGCAGGAATCGATCGACCTCATAACGATCCGTTGGTGATTGACTTAATGATCAGGGATCATGACGTAGCAAGGGTGCTCATCGATACTGGAAGCTCGGTGAACGTCATCTTCAGGGAAACACTCAGAAGAATGGGAATCGACCTCTCCGAGGTCGAAGCAATCCCCAAAACTCTAACCGGATTTTCAGGAGAAACGACGATGACTATGGGAACGATCAGGCTTCCTGTAGTAGCTGGCAGAGTCACTAAGATCGTCAAATTCTGCGTCACCGATCACCCAGCAATACAATGTGATCATGGGAACTCCGTGGATCAACGGGATGAGGGTGGTACCCTCTACCTATCATCTCTGCCTCAAATTCCCAACCCCAGCAGGTGTTAAAACGATCTGGGGGAGTCAAAAGGAGTCACGAATGTGCTGCCTAGCCTAGCATAAGCTAAGGAACCCCGTCACCGACGCACGAGCAGACATCAACCGCAAAAAGATGAAGACGGACCGAGAGGCCGCGAACGAGCTCTCGAAACTCTTATAGTAATTACAGATCGCGGAGAGCCGCGAAACACGCGCCGAGCCAGTATGCGATGCAGTGAACTCGGTATATATAGATGAGGTGCGCCCGGAGCGATGCGTCGAAATAGGAACAAAACTGGAAGAGTCTCTGAGAAGCGAACTCCTTTCCCTCCTCAAGGAAAACATCAACACTTTCGCCTGGACAGCAGAAGATATGCCAGGCATAAGCATCGACGTGACCTGTCACGAGCTGAATGTGGATCCGACCTTTAAACCAGTGAAGCAGAAAAGAAGGAAGCTCGGCCCCGAACGAGCTAAAGCAGTTAACGACGAAGTCGAAAGGTTACTCAAAGTAGGATCAATCGCCGAGGCCAAATATCCGGACTGGCTCGCAAATCCGGTGGTCGTGAAGAAGAAGAACAGCAAGTGGCGAGTATGTGTGGAGTTTACCGACCTCAACAAGGCGTGCCCAAAAGACAGCTTTCCCTTGCCACACATAGACCGGCTCGTCGAAGCCACTGCAGGGAATAGACTGTTAATGTTTATGGATGCGTTCTCTGGCTACAATCAGATCCTAATGCATCCTGACGATCGAGAAAAAACGGCATTTATAACTGATCGCGGGATATACTGCTACAAAGTCATGCCGTTCGGGCTCAAGAACGCAGGAGCAACGTATCAACGGCTCGTCAATAAAATGTTCGCAGGTCAGCTCGGAAAAACTATGGAAGTATACATCAACGACATGTTAGTCAAATCACTCAAGGAGGAAGACCACGTCGCGCATCTACGGGAATGCTTCGAACAATTGAACAAGCACAACATGAAACTAAACCCGGCAAAGTGCAGGTTCGCGGTCACCTCGGGAGAATTCCTCGGCTATCTGGTAACTCACCGAGGCATAGAAGAAAATCCCAAGCAGATCAAAGCTTTAATTGAGATGCCCTCTCCAAGGACGAAGCGCGAAGTGCAGAGGCTCACAGGAAGAGTCGCCGCGCTAAACAGGTTTATTTCCCGTTCCACAGACAAATGCCTGCCCTTCTACGACACCCTCCGAGGAAACAAAAAATTTGAGTAGGACGAACGATGCGAGACGGCTTTCCAGGAATTGAAGAATTATCTGGCGAGCCCACCAATCTTAGCAAAACCAGTTGAAGGAGAGCCACTCTTCCTCTACATCGCAGTGTCTGCTACAGCTGTAAGCGGAGTGCTTATCAGAGAAGAACGATCCGAGCAAAAGACCATTTTCTACATCAACCAGACATTAACCGACGCCGAGACTCGCTACCCCCAGATCGAGAAGGTTGCCCTAGCCGTCGTAGTCTTGGCTCGGAAACTGCGCCCGTACTTTCAATCACATTCGATTGTTGTGCTCGCTACGCTTCCACTGCGCTCGATCCTACACAGCCCTAGCCAATCCGGTCGGCTCGCCAAGTGGGCCATAGAGCTAAGCGAATACGACATCGAGTATCGGAACAGGTCGTCTGCAAAGTCACAGGTGCTCGCAGATTTCCTCATTAAACTTCCCGTCGAAGCAACAAACGAGCCAACACTAGACGAAGTGTGGACGCTGCACGTCGATGGCTCGTCGTCTAAACACGGCTCGGGAATAGGAATCCGCCTCACCTCTCCCACCGGAGAAATATTGGAGCAGTCTTTTCACCTGAACTTCCACGCCTCGAACAACGAAGCAGAATACAAAGCACTGATCGCCGGCATACGACTAGCGCAGGGAATTGGAGTTTGAAAGATAAGAACCTTTTGCGATTCACAGCTCGTAGCACGTCAGTTCAACGGAGAGTACGAGGCGAAGGACGGACGAATGGGAGCTTACCTCAAAGTGGTCCGAGAGTTGGTGCAAAAATTCGATGAGTTCGAACTCACTCGTATCCTCCGAGGAGAAAACACCTCGGCCGACGCATTGGCAGCACTCGCTTCGACCTCGGACCCAGACCTCCGGCGAACGATCCCAGTTGAATTCATTGAACGTCCTAGCATAGAAGAGGTGGAAGGAGTTCGGCTGATAAATCCTTCTGAACAAGAACCAGAGGACGACGAAGCCGTTCCTATGGACGAAGACGCCTCGCCGGCCAAGCTGGAGTACGGCTGCGACAAGGAATGGCTCGGAGCTATCCGAATGTATATCGCCGATGGAGAGATGCCAACCGACAAATGGGAAGCCCGCAAACTAAAAGCTCAAGCCGTGCGGTATGTCCTCGTCGATGGCGAGGTGTTTAAGTGGAGATTTTAGGGCCTCTCATGACATGCGTCGAAGGACCGGAGGCAAGAAAGATCATGCACGAGGTGCACAGCGGCGCGTGCGGGAACCATTCCAGCGGAAGGTCGCTCGCTATCAAGATTAAACGGCACGGCTACTTCTGACCCACGATGGTAAAGGACTGCGACAAATTTACAGCGAAGTGCGAGAAGTGTCAGCGGCACGCTCCAACAATTCATCAACCCACCGAGTTGCTCTCGTCAATTTCATCACCTTATCCATTCATGAGATGGTCGATGGACATCGTCGGACCTCTACATCGCTCGAAGCAGAAGCGTTTCCTGCTCGTCCTCACGGATTACTTTTCCAAATGGGTCGAAGCCGATTCCTACGCAAGCATAAAAGATGTTCAAGTCGAACACTTCGTCTGGAAAAATATCATCTGCCGACACGGGGTCCCCTACGAGATAGTCACCGACAACTGATGGGGTCGTTTGTGTGTGTCAACTACGTGAGGGAACAAGTTTTACCCTTAACAAAACAAAAGAAAGCCGCAAGTGCACAGCTAATATGTTGTAGTATTTAGGGATCGAATCCACAGAGATTTGTGTGCCTGGTATTCTTCTACAGTTATTAACTTTATGTCTAGACTAAATTGGTTTTAAAGGTTGGTTGTTTTCTTGAATTAAACTAAAGGAAAATAAAGCAAATAAATCTATCCTAAAAGGCAAGTAAAGAAATCGAATGAAAGGCAGTAGAACAAGTAAAATATCGAACTAAACAAAGATAAGACAAGTAAAATATCGCAGGAAAGGTAAATAAAGCAAGTAAATAACGAACTAAGGAAATTAAAATGCAGGTCTAAAAGAGCAAGTAAAAATCGATGGAAATTGTAAACTATGGCTAAAAACGCTGAGCTTTTGGGAACTCTAAGGGATCATAATCGGTTTTAACATTAAGGTAGATAGATTGGGATTGACGGATAACAATATATGGGTTCTAGAGCTAGAGTACGGCGGTATGACTACGTCACTGTCGTGATCATAACCAACTTTTTCTCGCAACCCTGACCAGTAGGTTTCCACTCTGGCCCTGGAAGGGAGAGAATGCAAGAGCTGCATAAGACTCGTCAATACTCACGATCTCGCCGCAGGTAGGTTTCCACCCCTACGGAAAAATCGCCAGTTTCATTCTAGGACTGATACTTAATGAAAACTTTCGCAACACTAACTATCTAGATCAGATACTAGGTGATCAATCAAGCATACATGCAATAAGAACAAGAATAAACAGAGAACAGGTCGAAATCCCAGATCTATAAACCTAGATGTCTTAATCGATTATGAGAGCCCCTTTCGGGAACCCTAAGCCCAACTCGGGATCTACTCAGACATGGCTGAGTTCGACATCATCATTGGTTTTAATAAAAGTAATGAAAAACAGTAAAGAAAAGAGATAAAGAAAGCTTCTCTATTGAAGAACTTGGACTTGAACAATCTTCTACAAAAATCTCATAAAAACGGCTAAAGGAAAAGGGTTTCTGTAAAGTATCAAAAAGCTCTCCTAAAAACGACCTAAATGACATGTATTTATAGTCTCCAATACTCCATGGTCTCTAGGGTTCCGGAATTGAGGCTGGGAATGACTTTGGGCTTCAGATAAGTGGGCTTTAAGTCGGAGCTTGAATGCCCCGCTCGGGAGTGCTGTGACCGCGGCAATTGGCTTGTTTCCCGCGGTCGAGAAGCTTCTGACCGCGGCAAATAGCTTGTTGGCCGCGGTCGCGTGAGCTGCTGGCCGACTCCGCGTGGCTTCGGCGAATGTCTTGAGATCCAACCGTTGGAATGTCTCCAAACCAAGTGCATTTGAAAGCTGGTTGATTCTTCTATAAGTTGTCCAATTTTTGAGGGTGATCAGACGGTGAGAAGGTCTTCGTCTCTCCATGAGAGTTCTGACGGTCTGCATTTATCCAAAAGAGTCTTTTTGTTCCATTCTAGCCTCTTTATCCCAAATTACCTGAAAAGTCTTTTAAAATCCGGAAACATAGAAATCCTTTGAAAACCTTTGAAAATGGAGTAAAAACACCTGTAAAAGATATTAAAATGATCCATAAAAATGGTCAAAATCCGGTGTTATAAACTCCCCCAGACTTAGTCTTTTGTTTGTCCTCAAACAAAACAAAGGCTAAATCTCGGCGAGAGGTTTGAAAACGCAGGAACTAAACAAAATCTCAGAGACCAAACTTCTAGACAAATATCAATCAGTATGCATCAATCGGGAATAACCTAGAAAATTCTCACTAGCAATACAGGCATAACTAGTCCGTTAATCCGTCATGCAGAAATCTATGCACTAAGATCTAACTTCCAGTCAACTAGCTCTTAACATTCATTAAAAATCTCGGTGGTTCTCATCAAAGAAAATCTAGCCAAGGCAATCTAGGCTAGGTTTAAAGAAGGATTATTTTGGGGGTATGGCTTAAAGTGTTTAAGGGTTACCTGAAGATCTGGAGGGTGCAGGACATTATGCAAAACCGCAAGAGAGAGTGAAGCTGTTGGTATCCACAGTTTTCAGTCACTTTTTCTTGACATAGATTCATGGTCTTCTTCCTCAGGTTCTCTCCAAACTCCCCCAGACTTAGATTTTTGTAAATCTT